ACACAAAACGCATAATAAATGCGAATATAAAGCTGTGGTGGACAGCAACCGCTGTTTTTCATCCAGTAGCCCAGAGCTGCGTTTTAAAAGCCGGGAAAACTACATCGTTTTAGAACATGGGAATACTGTCTGTATGTTTTAAATAGCGTACTAGTCATTTCGTATTATTTTAGTTGCAAAATGAGGCTTTCACATAGACGGCGAAGAGAATGAATGAATGAATGGCGAACAAAACACATTTTGAGAATACAAATATAGCTTCGTAACATGGAATTACAGGAGAGTGACATTTGTAGTTTAACGAGGAAAAACCAGTATGTGAGTGTCATTGCCTGCCGTTTAAATGTACTGGCATTTTTTTCGCGCTACGCTCTTCACACCATGCCTGCAAATTTTTCATAATATAGCCATTAAGAAGTGAATGGGTGAGGTTATTTTAAACAGTAAATTAGGTTTCCCTAACTGGCAAGATATTTCGCCGCAGTCTAGAACTGGTGATGTCGAGACTACTAAAAATATCTCAGGAATAACTAAGCTCTGTCAAGTGCATTGCACGCAGAACCGTTGTCCTTCAAAAGAAGAGATGTTAGGGAAACCAATGGCCTGACCACCAGGCGATGCAACATTGGTCAAGGCAAATGAAAAAGTTGCCAGCTGCATAGCTAAGGAATCAGACTGTGAACTACGGCTGAGCAGAGTACTTCAGATCTAAATGCTAATTAGGTTACCTTGAGATTCGGTCCTTCAGCCATTCGTCTGTGATATTCCTTCAGCAATGGAAATTTGTCCAGACAGTGCGAATCGAGAATCAGCAAAATGTCGAGTTCCTCAAAAAGAACATAGTCTGCGAATGAAATCTGAAAAAAAATTTACATCCTTGTTACGTATGTTTTTCTGGAACATAGTGGCAGCTCCAGTACCCCTACGAATCCATCTTATGTTTAAATATTGCTTCTAAATTTACTGCTTTAAGAATAAAACACTGTACGCTTTAGTGCATACTGGGTGCGATTATGCCGGCTTCCACTTGCACAAGGTATTATTATAGTAAACTATCACCATTAAATTTGGAAATTCGATGGTGTTCGGCTTCTCTACATAGTGCCGGTAACCTTGTCTCCAAGGACGAACATTTCCCCTCCCATTCGTGTCGTAATCAATTTTTCCAGTTTTGCTAGTTCTACCGGCAGGATATTTTTGATGAATGGCTCCTTTTCTGTTTCCTGAAAAACCATTCCTTTAAACGCTACTAATCTTGAGCTTTTCTATAAAATTGGAAGAGTGCGTCATTTTTTCTACTAATTTTGAGGTCTAATAAAACGTATATCAGGTTTGCCGGTGCAAAAATGCACTTACACAGTTCTCCCGGAAATTGTTTATTGATAAGTGGCACTGTTTTTTTTTCGGCAAGTACTTCTAGCTAAACGGATCGAGAATGGCCACCTACGTTATTGCATATTATCAAAAGAATACACGGCTGGTCAGACTGAGAAAGTTTCAGCACTTTGTTTGCTTTGAGTACGCGTGGGTCTCGCTTACGGACGCCTCAATGAAAACAAACTTTTTGGTTGGAAAACATTTCGGGAATCAGACAGGATAGGAAGTTGAAACTTTACGAGAATAAGCGCATTTGGAATTTTCCACGATGCTCCCCAATTCCGCTTAGCTAGTTTCCTTTCACATACATCAATATAAAATCGGCTTTTTTCGTTTTTCGTGCGCATTTTGCCTTCACTCAAATGCTAAAGGGAATCTTCACAAAATCTCGTCTGCGTGTATGTGCTTACCCACTTGCTGCGATGATTAAGCTGCAGAACTAAAAAAGCAAGGAATATTTAAAATTCAAAAGCATACAAGTTGAAATAAAGCCCTGTCCGCTCACGCACTAATCCAGAGATTTAGGACCCGTTTCAGAAACTTGCGCAAAACGCAAGCCCGTTCGGTGTTTCAAAAAGTTGTTTGTTAGTTTGCTGTTCGATGCATCGGAAAGGAAAAGGAAAGGAGAGGTCCATTGACAGATACTAATGGCCGTATACAAGGCCAGGCTGTTCAGTAGTAGCAGTCCCCGTCCAGCAGAGCAACCTCATTCCATCCAGAATTCCTGCACAAACACAGCGACTGGCTAAGTATGGTGGCCAAGAGCAGCAGGTGGCGGCACAGCGATACTTCTCCAAAGAGCGCTTTTTCGGAACACTGTCCAAGGGTGATAAATGGGGGAGTTGTACAGGTGGCAAATGCTTCTGAAATGAATGAAGCAGCAGATGGGAATTGATTTTCTAGCCCCCAACGATCGCTGCAACGATCAGTAAAGAATATGATGCCTGTGAACACCGTTCTGGCGTGGGAAGTGTAAAGGATGTTTTTAGGTAGGACTTCACTGGAATTCACAAGTACTGAACAATACAGCAATAAATAAGTGTGCACTGGAGGGGATTCTAGGATACAGCCATAACCTCCCGATAAGACTCGAGAAGTTGGTGGCAATGATGTGTTGTTGTGTTTGAAATGAAGCTAAAGCAAGGATGAAGGCGGGCGAAAGAACGGAGGCCCAGCAGAGGAGGGAGGGAGAAACTAGTTGAGTAGGATGACGATCGAGTCGGATACGATCCAGCTGTATGATAACGAGGAGAAGCTCATTTGTCCAGGTAGAAGCTCATTTTGTTTGCTGGCTGGCACATGAACAGCACATACTGCCAGAAAAAGCCTAGTTCCTGCTCAGTCTGGTTACCGAGTTAATTGGGTATCAGCAGTATCCCAAACCAGACTCTCACTTGCGCGCATGCAAGACGAAGGTGTGCTCTGAAGCTGAGTTTGAATGTTTCGGTCGCACATGCATAGAATATTCTCGAAAAATTTCATTATCCTAGCCTAATCGACTGGCGAAATCGCTTTCCGTTACAAATATTTTCAATGCGCCCAAACGCACCACACAGCCGCATACCAGGGCTTTTTTTAAGCCTACGTGCCGCGCGTGGAAAGCAAATATTCTTGAAGACTTGGAGGGCTCTAATCAGCTTATTCCACAAATTGGCATTTTGCCGGCAACGTTATCCTCTACTTTGGCTTGCTCGTATATGTGAATTGGGCATGTACCTGGATTCGAAGCAGTTAGCTCAAAAAAGGTTATAGAACATCTTTATGGATTTACAGTTTCCTATCCTTCTGGTTCTCGAAATCGCTTTCCTGCCAATAAATTTAAATATTTACTTTTTGGCGTCCGTACGTGACACCCAAGCGCGAATGATATTTCAAAACAGAAAGGTCACGCACAAAATGGGTAATGCTGCAGAGGTGGGAATTCCGCCAAAAAATTTATTTTATTCAGAAATCGATGCGATGGA